AGCCAACCACCCTTACCTGAGTCCAGACATGCTTGTAAAGGTATGCAAAAATTCAAATAAAAATAGGTTACTTTTTTATTATAAATATATCATATAATCATTGTAAAAAAGAAAAATACAAAGTAGTACATGAGAAAAAAGTATTCTGAAATCTCAGCGGTCACAGGTCACCATGGCTATGACGCTGGTATCTCTCCTTTCAGATTTTTTTGCTCTATGTGCCTGTATACAGTTTACACAAAGAGCAGGGTTCTGAACACACTGTTCTGCATATTTGTTTTAATGACGTAGGTCTAGGCTGTCAGACCCTATCAGCACTTCTGGGGCTAATGTTTTAAATTGCTGCATAGATTCCATTGTATGAATGGACCATCATTTATTTTTTATTTAATTATTTATTTTTATTTATTTTTTGTTTTTATTCTTTAATTTTATTTTCGTTTAAAATATTACAGATGTCCCTTTTTCTCCCCAATGACCCATTCCACCCCATCCCCTCCCCCTCCCCAGTCCCTCTCCCCACCATTGTCCGTGTCCTTGGGTTGTGCATATCTGCATATAAATTCTTTGGTTACNNCAAAGAACCATCTCTTGGTTTCATTGATTTTTGTATTGTTTTTTTAGTCTCTATGTCATTAATTTCTGCTCTGATTTTTATTATTTCCTTCCTTCTACTTCCTCGGGGCTTTTCTTGCTGTTCTCGTTCTAGTTCGAGATAGGCCTGTATGTACCATCATTTATTTAAAAATTCCCACTGTGGATCTATATGTAGTTTCCAGACATTTTGCTGTTCAAACCAATGCTCTGTGAATATCCTCAGACCCATGTCATTTTGCAGGCATGTGACTTTATCTGTTGGCTAGTTGTTATAAACTGTACGTTTAAACGTACCATTCTAAATCTTGCTGGTGTTGCCAAATGGCTCTCTATTTGGAAGTTGTGCTGATTTACACTCCCACCCGCAGAGCATGAGTGTTCCCCATTCCTGTCGGGAGCGACCCACTATCAGATGGTTCCGCTTTTTGTAACAATTATCTGAAATGTGCCTCGTTGCGGTTTCCACCCACCTTTCCCACGTTCACTCTCCAGGCTCCACACTCAGGTTTCGTGTAGGCGTCTTCTGATCTCGGCCCCCCTGTGAGTTGCAAGGATGAATAATGAACCTCAGCCCGTGCATGGGGGTGGAGCCCCCCTCAGGGAACAGGCCCGGAGCATTTGGGCGCTGGGAACTCACATAACCACCAGGCCTTTGAGTAGAAGAGCTTCAAAGAGGCCAGATTTCTGGCTCAAATCCCTTGTGAGCCTGAGCACCTCAACTCTAAGCAAAGCTTAAATGGTAGTACACTATACATTATTACAGGTTTATTTTTAAACTCACAGTGTGTCTCAGATTTAGCTCTGTTGGCACTTAATTGATCTTTCATTGCATTCTCAATTATGGTATGATTCACGCCAGCAGGTTTGGTTACATTTTCATCTGTTAATGTACATTTAAGTTATTTTAAATGTTAATGCTACAGTGGACATCCTGTACCTGCCTCCTTGTGAGTGCATGGAAGTGCTACTCCAGGTTGGATACTGGGAAGTGGAATTGCTGGGTCCTGGGTTCAGACAAGTCGCCTTCCAGAGTGGCGGTGCCAGTTCCCACTGTCATCACTGCATAGAGCGCCCATCTTGCCATGGTTCCCCTCAACATTTGATATTAAAAAACTTACGAACATTTGCCATTCTTAGGGGTAGTAACTGCTTTCTGATGGTCTCAATCTGCATTTCCCTGTTGACTAACAATGAACAACTTTTCATATTTGCTACTGGCCACTGGTATTTCTTCTTTGGTGAATTACCTGTTCATGTCCTATACCCATTCTCTTCTTCTGTTTAATCCTTTACATATTGATTTTTAGGAACTCTTTGTATATTCTGGATACTTACCCTTGACCTGTGATATATGTTGCAAAGTTTTCTTCTAGAGACTCTTTAAGAAAAAGATGCCATCGTCCTAGCCTTGTGCATTTGTCTTGCGGTGCGAGCCGACTGTGTTTGTCCCACTGTAGACCAGTGCAGTATAGGGCAGTAACACCTCACACAGAGACCTTTCCTGAAGAAGTTGAATGATTTAAGACTGTCCCACAGGAGTAAATATAAAGTAGTGGTGGTGAGGATGCTGTGTTGGAGTACACAAATCCACAACCGTTGTGGCGTACTAGATACATATGTAATATTAATAAATGTATGAACTTGGGCAAATTACTTGAATCCTCTGGGCCTCAGTTTGCTCATCTGTAAGTAAAATGGGCATAATGAGAATATCTAATTTATAGGATTATTGTGAGAATTAAATGAGTTAATGAAAAGTATTTTTAGCAGGGGTTGGCCCAGGATGAAATTTGTATGAGCATTAGCTATTACATAATAAAAGTCTGGCTTTCATAGTGTTTGTTATCATATCTGATTCCTGCCCCAAGTCAACTGGACTTGGATGTGTTTCCTTTAGCATGTAGTACCACCTCTTAATGAATACTTTCATAAAGTCATAAAAATAACATACAGGAGTTCCACTGCACAAAGCAGCAGTTTCTTTATAATATACTTACTGAGGATGATAGACGTTTCTCTTTGCCAGTCAAAGTGGTGCCACTCAGGTAATTGTGTAAACACTATTTATTATTCACTTAGCTTGCCAGCTTCATAATTCTGCAATTTTTGATTAATTTCTTATTTGCAGGGATTGTTACACTATTTTTGTAATCCATGCATACAGTGGTATTGGATTGATTTTTGTGTGTCATGATTTCAAAGTCCACAATTCAAGGTTGCGTATAGAATGACCACTGTGAACTTGCTGTAAGTTTACTGGGTCATCTACTGTCCTCTGAGTTGTTCCTACCAGTTGTCAGTGCTGGGTGGGGCCTGCCGATTTCACTGGGAGTACTGATTTTTTAAAATTGTGGAGTGGAACATTCCAGACCGATGCAAGGCTGAATTCAGAGTTTGTTTTCAGCCATGTGATGCCTACAGAATATGGTGTCGCCATTATCTTAAGATTTCTGAACGGATGAAACAGGTGTTCTTCGAAGACGGGTGGCTCCTTGTCAGCCGCCCCCCCCCCCAACCACCCCAGCCCTTGTGTTCCTTGTGTACCTGCTACTTCACTCCTGTGTGACACTGAAGAAGTCCAGAGTTCTGCCGCATCCCTTGGAGGTTCTGAGATAAAGCAACATTCCTAGCTTTTTGTTTCTTCGCCACTGAATTTGGGAATGGGACTTTGCAGTCCTCGCTGTTGGGGAGGGAGAAAAGGACAGGTAGGCAAGGAAGAGCCTTTGATAAGAAGTTCTTCTAGTGGGCTAGTGACCTGGTACGTGAGCCTTTGTGTCTGGTGCACTAAAAGGCTGTGATCACTACCATTTCACACTCATTAGAATGGCTAAAATAAAAAGGACTGACAATAGCAAGTGTTGGTGAGGAAGCAGAACAATGAACTCTCATACATTGATGGTGGGAGTGTTAAGTGGTACAAATACTTGTGAGAACTCTTTGTTAGTCTCTTGTGAATTTAGAAATAAATGTACCCCAGTGACCCAAGCAATTCCACGTCCAGGAATCCACCCAAGTGAAATGCCCCAATAAAGACTTGTATATACATGTTCATAGTACTTACTCATAATAGCAAAAATTGGAATAACCAATGGGAGAATGGATAAACAATCTGTGGAATACTCATATGTTGGAATACTATTGAACAATACAAAGAATAAACTACAGATTCACGTAACAACATAGATGAGCCTCAAGAAACGTGACGTTGAACAGAAGAAGGCAATTACAAAAGTAAATACAGTTCCATTTATTGAAGTCCAAGAAGAGGTAAAACTAATCTATGGGAAGAGATATCAGCACAGTGATTGCCTCTGGAGTTGGGGTGAATGGTGGGGGGATCCTCTGGGAAGAGGCACTAAGGCACTCCAGGGTGAGGGCGATGTTCTGTACGTTCGGTTATGTGAATGCGATTGTTAAACTCATCTAACTGAACGTTTGTGATCTGTGCATTTTCTTGTATATATATTACGCCTCTAACATTTATTGAAAGCATTTTAAAGGTTATGATTAGCTTTCTGTTTCATAGTCCTGATTACTTGTGTTCATCAAGGCTGTCATCTTTCCCAGTGCGAGATGACATAATATCTTTACACCAGGGGTTGAATCCTGAACCCCGTGGAACTGAACGCACAGTTTTGCATGTCGGGGTGCATATTTTCCTTTCCCCTTGAGGAGCGAGTTCACAGCTATCACCACACTCTCAAAAGGGTCTGAGACCCAAAACGTATTTAAAACGGAACCTCTGTGTTAGATGGTTCATGCAGAGCGTGTAGGAAGCAGTATCAGTAGTTAAAGATGAATGAGTGATTAAATGACAAGCTGTTTCCAGTTGACGTTTAAAGAACCAAGTCTCTAATAGTTCCCAGATTAAAACTGGCAGTTATCAGCGGCTCCCCTAAACTAGCAAAGATTAGAGTAACCCCCTGACCTGAGGAATAGAATGAAGTCCCGGTGAGACGAGCAGCCCGAATCAGTGTACCACGCAAGAGCTTTCAACCCCGGTTATGGAAAAAGATGCCTGTTATTCAAAAGTATCACATACTGTGTCTATTTTAAATATTGAAATTGGATAGGTAAACATAATAGAAGCGGCTGCTGTGATTCAACCGGAAAAAAAATTATTGAATGTTTCTCTGGACAGGAAAAAACAATTACCATTGTGACCGCGAACAGACCTGTTTCAGGGTCAGCGTTGCCAGCGTTTAACAGGAGACTTGACAGGGCTCGGTAGGGTCATTTTCATGCCCCGAGTTTTGAGAATTGGTGGCTCCTTCGCAGTCCCCGATTGCAGGGAGATGGTGCAGCATTAAGCTAGTGGCTAGGGGTGTAAATGCTCTTCGAGGGGGGAAGCTTCTCTGATCACATCTGAGCACCTGGGCTTTCTTTTATGTGGTTATTGACAGGTTTCTGTGGCCTGTTTTGTCCTGTGTGTCTTGAGTGCGACATCGCCAGGCATTACGGAGAGTGTTTTTGTTGGCCGTTGTTACCTGGGTCCACCTTTGCGCTAAGAGTTGGCACCAGAGAGAGACACAAAATATGGGTAAGTGTGTTTGAATGTAGGTGTGAGCCTGGGTCCGTATGAGAACCTAAATGCCCTTCCAACCTGTACCCCGCCCCCCTCTCGCCCCCCCCCAAAAGCGAAGAAAAGTCTGAGCAAGGATGCTTAAAATCACACTTAGTGGAAGACTCTGGGAAAGGGAAAGGAAGGCATTTCTGATTTCATTCATTATTAGGGTGTATGTTAATCAAAATGTCACATTGTGAAGAGTATTTCCAAGGGCGGTTTATTATAATGCAGGTTATCAGTCAGTGGGCCATTCCTGTTTCTCTGATTGCAACAAGAGAAGATAACAATTAGAATTGCATCAAATTTAGCACCTATATTTGGGATGATCTGACTTAAACTGCAGTCTATGAGGCATGTGCAGAATTCACTTTGGGGGCTCCCTGGGGCCCTTCACATTTCCAGTGCAGCTGAGGCTGAGTTGCAGTGAGACAGTGAGGACAGACAGTAAGATGTGGACAGTTAAAAAAAAAGCATCTCTTTATATATTCATATGAAGTGGTCCCTAAGATATATTTTTAAGTGAAAAAAAGAGTGCGGCCTAGAAGTATGCAATTGTCTGCATAAAAGTCTCTACGTATACTTGTGTAGATGGAATTTATTTGGAAGTGTGGATGACAAACTGCCAAACACTGCTTGCCGCTGGACAGGTGCTGAGTGGCTGGGGACACCTGTGGAAGGGGGATTGACTTCTTCCTTCCTGTCCCTTCTTACTGTGGGAATTTTGGACCATGTGGACTCATTACCCATTTCAAATAAATAAATACAATAATTATAAATATTAAGTCCTAAACGGAAGAAAGAGATGCTGACAGGGAAAGCAGTGGTTTCAATAATGAACCTGTGTCAGAAGTCCAAGGACCAGGGCTTTGAATGACAAGGACTGATTAGCAGTTGAGCAGCTTGGGGCTTGAGTAAGCCAGTGGAGCTGTGTGCCTGCATGGTGCCTTGGGGGCATTGGTAGACCTTGGAGGCTGTGCCACCAGATAGTATTGTAGAGGTCCCTGGGTGATGAATGAGCCTGTGGGATTGCACCAGGTAGTACCTAGAGGTCCCTGGGTGATGAATGGGCCTGTGGGATTGCACCAGGTAGTACTGTAGAGGCCCCTGGGTGATGAATGAGCCTGTGGGATTGCACCAGGTAGTACTGTAGAGGCCCCTGGGTGATGAATGGGCCGGTGGGATTGCACCAGGACAGACACTGGGTCTCCCCGCAGGGCACACTGTGTGAGGACTNAGCCTGTGAGGTTGCACCAGGACAGACACTGGGTCTCCCCGCAGGGCACACTGTGTGAGGACTGGCTGGCCGTGCACTGCTGTTGGCCTTTGTCCATCTGTCAGCTGGCCCGGGAGCTCAAGATGAGGACCTCCCAGCTCTATGAAATCTCAGAAGCCCCTTCAACGAAGGACACCTTTATCTGACAGAGCAAGAAACTCCTCCCCATTCCCCCTCGCCCTCCTCTCAAAACCCTCTCAGTAGAGAAATCATTTTTCTTGTTAAGTTTTCACTGGAATAGATGAAAATAAATGACCTCCCCACCCCACTGTCTTTACTGTTGTTCTTTCTTCACATCTCCCCAGTGAAGGGGATATTATTTGTCTGCATTTGCTCTGCCTGGAGTTGTGGAAGGCTGAATTTTTCACCATCTTCCTACCGCCACTCTTTCCTGAGGGGTGTCTGGGAGGCTGGGAGGATTGCTGTATGGCTTTCTTATGCTAAGCCCCCTTTTCCAAAAGCACCAGTGATGGGCAGGAGGTGGTTAATTTTCATTAGCACCTAGCCTGGGCACTGAACGTCACCGAAATACAGAAGCATTATCCCCACGCCTCCAGTCCTGACTGCGCAGAGGAGAAAGCCTTGGGCTGCCGCTCATCTTGAGCACCTCCCTGGAACCTGCAGATCTTCAGCCCCAGGTCAAAGCCTTAGTCAGGCAACTGTTCTGGGTTGAGTTGAATTGTGTCTCTTCCCCTCCCCTTCCCAAAGATGTGTTAAGGCCTAACCCCTGGTATCTGTGAATGTGACTTTATTTGGAAGTAGGGTCTTGCGGGAATAATTAATTAAGATGGGGTCGTTAAGGTGGACCCTAATCCAATATGATTGCTGTCCTTAGAAGAAGAGAGACCTAGAGACACAGGGAATGCAGCCACCGGACCATGGGGCAGAGACTGGAGCGATGCTGTCCCAAGCCAAGGATGGCCTGCGGCTACCAGCAGCTGAAAGAGGCGAGGCTTGGGAGGGAGCGTGCCCTGCCAACATCTTGATTTTGGACTTCTAGCCACCAGAACGTGAGAGAATGTTTCCGCTGGGGTGCTTTGTTGCAGCAGCCCCTAGAAGCTAATACACCCACCGTCTACCGTGTGAACAGAATACTCTTGCTTTTGTTAGGGGGCTGCACAGCGCGGTGCTGAGGAGCCTGGCTTCGGAAGCCTGAACTGTCTGCTTCATATTCTAACTGTGTAACTGTGGGCAAATTTGCTACTCTTGTGCCTCAGTTTCCTCATCTGTAAAATGACAGCGCTAACCTCAGAGGGCTGTGAGGATGCTAACAAGTCGCAGGACTCAGGACGCGGGCTGCTCTGCGGCTACCTGGTGCTCCTGGCACATCAGACCGGTTTTCCATTCACTGTTGAGATATAAAGTTTTTAATTAAATTTTAAATTGAAATGGAGTCAATTAAAGAAAGACTATTAAGTAAAATAATAATATGATATAGGATGTATTATGGAATTGTACACTTGAAACCTATATAATTTTATTAACCAATGTCACCCCAATAAATTTAATAAAACATTTTTAAAAAGTAAAAAAATAAAAATGGATGGTTGGTGGATATGGCAAATCTTGTGGTGGCAAAACGTGAATTCTACTGAGTACTTGTATGCACCAAGCACTGTTCGAAACACTCTACATGTTTTCAGGCATTTAATCCTTAACATCCCTCAGGTAGGTGCTGTTATATCTTCATTTGCCAGAAAAGGAACTGGAGCCACAGAGAGGTTGAGTGATTTGCCCAACGCCACACAGCTGGTAAGCGACAGGCAGCCAGGCTCTTGAGACTGTGCTCCTAGCGTTTGTGCTAAGCAAGCAGCGACTTCTGGCCCAGGGGCCTCTGTGGGCCCTCGTGGTTGTACAACCTGGGCTTGTACGACCTGGTGACTCAGCCTGGTCGAGAGGAAGTGTCAGCCATCCCCACCGAAACCAAGCAGTGCCCCTCCAAAGGCAGTCCTCTCCTCCCAGCCCTCCCTCGTGGATGTCCAGAGCAGCTGCCAGAACCACAGCCCTTTGGGAAGATTAAATGCTCGATGCTGATGTTTAATCTCTGACGAAGTACTCCCCTGTCCGAGCCAGCTACTGAGAAAACCAGGCCTGCAGGACAGCTCTATTACGTGAAAATAAACCTGTTTTATTGTTTTTTATTAAAGCACATATCGGGCTTCACAAGCTCACAGCTGGGAACAACATGCGTTTTTGGCAAAGGAGACTCGGGTAATCGCTCCACTTCCTCATGAGCGAGCCCTCCCTGCGCGGAGAGCAGATGGTATTTCGCGCATCGTTCCCGGCCCACTCCTCTGGCTGATGCAGGAGGTGTGAGAGGAGCCCCCTTCCCTCCCCCTTTCCTCCTTCTGATCAGCCTGGGTGGTAAAGGCAAACTTAACACTTCCTTAGAGCCACACGCCCAAACAAGTAAAACCCTGGGCTCTGAAAGCATCGGGTCTGTATCACCGAGTCAAGAACATAAAACGGAGAACTAGCGCGTGGAGAGTTCCTTGAAGCCTGGTGCTGGAGTGTGGTCCTGAAGCAAGGTGGTTTAGGGCCTTCTTCTGGTCTCCTCTAGAACATGTCACGTCCAGCAAGAGAAGGGCTTAGCCAAAGCAGGTGACTCCTCCCAGAGAAAAGATGTCCAGCACCAGGTACTTAATCGCAAGACAGCGCTGATAAAAAGCCTCCGTCTCCTCGGCCTGACAGCAAGCTGCCGGGGGCCAGCCCCCAGTTCCCGGCAGGGAGGCATGCTCTCTGTGCTTGCTTCTCGCTGGGAAGTTCCGTTTGCTTCTCCAAGATGCAAAGTGCGGAGCGGACCTCCGATGACCCCATGTGGGTAAACACCACCGACACCCGCAGCACACATTGCACAGTCACCCAACAGTTACAGAACCAGAAAACCAACGAACAAGCCCCACCAAAGCTCTCGGCTTTACGGCGGCCTGTGCTAAGGCAATAAGCCGCCACCCTGGGACTCTACTTAGGACAAAGACATGAAAAGTTTGGAAGTCCTTACGTGTCCACTACCCTATAAAAGGATTTTTTATACGTTTATATATTTTATATATCTAAGGTTTATTTATACAATAGTCCATAATCACTAACATATTATATACTCTCTTTATAAACATTATTTGCACACACATTTCCTCGTAAAGATTCTCTTTTGGTCTATTAAAAACTCTGTACTTAAAAAAACAAACAAAAAAACCAAGTAGAGAGACAGAGAGTCTATAGCTTTTCTGCTTGTATTTTCCATGGAGGAGAGACTTTTCTCCCCTTCCATTCTTTCCGTTTTTTCCCTAAACAACGCCCTCTCCCTCCGACCCAACGTGTAGTAATAAGAAGCAACGGTTCCAGCAGATGAAACTTGAACCTCCCGGTTAGCACTCTACTCTGGGGTAAACTGGCCTGACCGCATTCTATTTTGTAAATATGTTTTTACTGATTTTAGAGAAAGAGGAGGGGAGAGTGAGAGTGAGAGAGAAACATCGATGTGAGATGAGAACATAACATCGATCAGCTGCCTCCTGCACACATCCCAACTGGGGATCGAACCCACAACCTGGGCACGTGCCCTGACCAGAAATTGAACCAGTGACCTTTCCGTGCTCCGGACAACATCCAACCAACTGAGCCACACGGGCCAGGGCTTGTGCTGACCTCATTCCAATCATTATAGTTCATCCTTGCCTGCAGCCCCACCATCTCCACTACGTTTTGACTCGTGACTATTTGGAATCTATATCCTGGAACTGACAGTCCAGACATGAAAACTTTAGGATCTGGAGGAGTTTTTCTTAAGTGTCTGGGTTTGGCTGGGAAGAAATCAGATTCTTCATTTTGTGTTTTTAAGAAAATATTTGGTTTGTTGATTAGGCAGATTCAAGGGAAAAGCTAATTCTCCAAGGAACTTTCCACCATAAACCCTGGAACGTTCCCAGAGACGACTTAGAAACCAGCCAGTGTAAAAATCAAGAGTGGTGGTTCCCTTGCTTTAAATATGAGGGGGGTAAGCCAGTGTAAGGGGAAAGCCTGAGCAAGACGGCCTGGAAGACAAGGCTGTCATCAGCCAGTGTGGCGTGAAGCTACCTGGTCTCCCCCGGTTTATAGAACTTGCTTTTGTGTGGGCCGCTGGCCCCTACCTAACCCCTCTGTATATCATCTATAAAGTAAACTTCCTTCCAACTCTGACATTCTATGACTTTCCCCTGGAAAATGCAGTCCTGGAAATCTGTTTACAGGTGGGCTGTAAGGCCTCATGGTGCTAACACGTAGGTTGCAGAATCTGAAGGCGGCATCTCTGTACTCATTGCTGCTGAGGCTATCGAGGAGCCAACCAAGCCCGGATTCATCCCAGAGGAAATGTAACCTGCATTTCAGTCCTAGTAGCTGAGAGAGAAGGGATGACTGACAGTTGGCAGTGCCATCCCTGACCATGTGTGAGGAGACGTCGTCCCTGAATTATCCTGTCTGTGGTCTCACCATATTGCCTTTCTCATTCACCACTTGGCAGATGAAGCCAATACTTTGGGGCTTCTTGCTGCCCCTGAGGTTAACCAAGAGGAGGGTGTGGTTAAGAAATTCAAGCCCTGTGAAGAGATGGGTGCCAGCTTTACGTAGAAGAAAACATTTCTGTAACCACAAAATGCGATCCTTCCTCTGCTCACGGTCGGCCTGATGTTTGCTCCTGCTTACAAGCAGGCCCGGATGGGAGACCGAGGGTGCTTCCGTGCCAGGCCATGATCCTGAACTTTACAACAGCCGACCTATCCGAGGCTGCCGCCTTCCTGTCCTGGGCTTTGGTCGTCAGGAGAGCACGCACTTTAAAAATGAAATTCTTCTTGATGCCTTAAGTTAAGGGGAAAATGAATGGCTCAAAGAGCCTCGGGGCGTCTTTGAGTTGCATTTATCTGTGTTAGCACAGATGACTTAAAATTACAATTTTTAAAAACCAGGGATAGACGATCTTCTAATGACTTGTCCTTCAGGGTGACTCATTTCTGAACAAGAAAGGATGCATGCTTGTACCTTCAGCCCTGAAACAGCCTCTGTAAGCATTGCAGTCTGTGGCGTCTCTCTCACGACATCACGGGCTGAGATTCTTTAAGTACCAAGTCCTTGCTTCCCTGGTCGGGATGTTCTAGCAGAAACCCCCTGGAGCTGGAGGTGTCGGAGGAAGACAGGATGGAATCGGAACGGAAAAGGCTGGGGACGTGGCGGAGGGAGGCAGGGCGCTGGGCCAGGAGTCGGGAGGGGTGAAGGTCAGGGCCACCGTGAGGAAGCACCGGCCTCTCCGGCCCGACACCCGCAAGGGGAACATTGTGTTCTTCCCCGCGCTGCTCTAAATCCGAGCCGGAGAGACAGGCCGGTCACAGAGCCGAGAGGCACTCGATGTCATTTGTCAGCGAGCGGCCGAGGTGTGACAAATTGGCACGATCGAGTTTGGCTTTGATAACAGAACAAAGTAACAGGAGGGACGGGAGCCTGGCGTCACCTGAAACAGCACACGGCGTACTTGCTTTTCTCTCTCCTGGCCCCCCCCCATTGATNGGCACACAGCGTACTTGCTTTTCTCTCTCCTGGCCCCCCCCCATTGATACTGCGGGTGAAGAGAGATTGGTTCCCTCTCCTGTCACCCTCTGTTTGGAGGCCAGCCCGTTGGTTGTCCTGCACCATCCCGAGGTCCAAGCAGTATCACAGGGTCCACAAACTCTCCGCCGAGGGGTTTCCGTCCGATCAGATCGGTGGTTCTCGCCAGTCTCCCCGCTGTGGCTAGGTCCTCCTGGAAGACGACCAAGGCAGGGCCTGTGAGGGGGAAGCAATTCGGAATCTCTGTGTGAATGCGTCCTGGCGGGACTGTAGTTCTCTAAAATTCTTACACATCTATATAAGAGAGAGAATCAAAACAGTGAAATGTTCATACCTAGGGAACCTAGCTGAAGGGTGCGCAGCACTTCTTTGTACTATTTTAGCAACATTTTTATAAGTCACAAATTCTTTTAAAAATAAAAAAGTTAAGACCCACAAGACACCAGGATTTCTCCAAGGCCTCAGATATTCTATTTTGGTTACCAAACTCAACCTGCATCTCTATCAGCCCCGCATATGTAACCAATGTCCTCCCCTCCCCGACCAGCCCTTGCCCCTTGAGGCCGAGAATGGTCACAAGCAAGTGCAGCCAGTCCCCCCTCCGCCCCCACGGGTCCAGGCGAGGGCGGGTCCGAATGCGCATCACAGGAGTCGGCTGCCCCCTGTGACTCTGCTGCCAGCGCTTGGTCTTGGCAAACACAGTCCCCGCTGACCATGCTGGGGACGGGATGATAGGAAATCGGTCCAATAACATTTAGAAAGACTTGCCTTCTACAGGACCCAGCCTCGGAGTCTGTCCGCAAGTGAGTTCCCATGAAAACCCAGGAACACGGGAAGTGAGTGGGAGGCGGAGTTTTCCATCTCCTGCCCAATTTCTTTCATCTGAAGTTTGATTTCTCTTCTCACCAAGGGCTCTGGGGGAACTTTAATAGACGGTCACAGCCTCATTCTTGGAGGGGTGGCGTGGGACAGTCAGATCTTACCGGCCATGTTTATGGGAAGCGCCAATTTGGGGAGTCTTAGCAGAACTCCCCCTCTCCAAAGGCAGAACCGTGATCTGTGGCTCCAGAAACTTGGGGTACGGGAGGAGCCCGAGCTTCCAGCAGGCAGCCACCCCTGGGCTCAACCCGAGCTCTCGGAGCCTGCAGGTGCCACGAGGCACTAACCCCTTTGCCGCCCGCCCCACTCAGCGTCGCAGCAAGTAAGAGCCGGGGGCTGCGTCACACTCCCCGGGAGAAGCAGGCCTGACGAAGTCTGTGATAATTCGGAAGCCTTCTGCGTCCCCCACACCAAGAAGTCACATGGGCCCTGGCTGGTGTGGCTCAGTGGTTAGAGTGCTGGCCCATGCACGGGAGGGTTGTAAGTTCGATCCCGGTCAAGGCCACATACCTGGTTTGATCTCCCACCTGGGTAGGGGTGTGTGCAGGAGGCAGCCAATTAGTGTGTCTCTCTCACATCGATGCTTCTCTCTCTCTCCCCCTCCCTCCCTCCCACTCTCTCTAAAAATCAATGGAAAAATATCCTCTGGTGGGAGTAACAACCACCACCACAAAAGTCACATGGATTTGGAGCTGTGAGTCCTCGCTGTGCACCACCAAACTCAGGCGGGAGTTTCATCCCGCCCTGCGCGGCTGTTAGTCCTCGAAGGGGAAGGCGCCCGTGTTAGACGTAGACCGCTTCTCTCCCCTGTGCCTAGGTGGGTGCCGGGCCTCTGGAGACGGCCAGCCTACTTATGTCGCGGTGGGCCCGGAAACGGCCGCTTCGATCTGCAGATCAGGCCTGGCATCAGAAGCTGGGATAATGCCCCTCGGGTGGGAGGCGAGGCTTTTTGGGATTCCTGCCCCTGTTTGCTCTTTTAACGACATTTGTCGTGATGTAGCGTTTCTGAGGGAGTGCAGGGGCAGGAAAGTAATAAGGGAGCAACCGCCCAGGGAAGGCTGGCCGCACATGGATCTGACCTTCCAGGTTGTGCTAAATGGTGTAGAAAGAACCTCAACTCTAAGATCCACTGACATTTTAATAGGCACCTGAAAATCCCGTCAATGGCAGGAGGCGTGCATCCACCTACAGCAGGCACTGCGCGGTGCTGGGTGGCAGCCCTTGTTAGTGCTATGCCTACAGGCTGGGGTTTTAGGATTAGGCCGGTGATAAGTCTTTGTGTACTGAGCACTCGGAAGACAAGTCTATCTGAAGGAGAAAATTCAGGAAAGCTTTGCATCCCAGCTTGAGAGGTGGCATGCAGCGCAGACCTGAGTCAGACTGCCCGGTTTTATTCCTAAACTCGAATTCCTAGCTGTGTGACCCTGTGGAAATTACTTAATTGCTCCAGGTCTCAGTTTCCCTATCTGCAATATGGGGATAGTAACAATATTTACTTTGTATGGTTGTGGCGAGATTTTTAAGTCAGTCCATGTACGTAAAGCACATAGAACAGTGTGTGGCACATAGCAGGAGCCTATGATTGCTGGCTCACGAGTATTATTATAAATTAAGAGACGTCTTGAAGGCTATTTACTGTGATCCTGCTTCTTGATGATCTCAATGGGAAACCCTCCAGGTGGATATAGATCATCCGGCGGTCTCATTGTCACACTCATTGCTAGAGTTTAACCTACAAGACGAGGCTGATGATAGCTCAGTATTTATTTCATATCATCATTGTGGGGTGGTCTTTATTTTTTAATTCCATTTTATGGGTGAGAAAACTGAGACTCAGAGAGGTGAAGTGACTTGCCCAAAGTCACACAGAGTCACACTTGTTCTATAGCCTGAGGTCTTAACTGCTGGGCCAGAGAAAGGTGGGGGAAGACCAGGAGAGGGGTGGAGAGGGAATGAGGAGTGAGGGTGGGGGACAGGGAGAGAGACTCACAACTAACAACCAATAAGTAAGTATTTTCAAACGAATAAGTGGGCGTGGAAATTCAATAAATATATCCTAATAATAACAAATGAGATGACATTTCACGTTTTGTCTACACAATTCCTAACAACCACTTTGCTTAAAAAAAATGACAGATTGCTTTTGACTGGCTGTGCAGCCATCAAGGAGCTTCGAGGCCCAACTCCTTTGGAGGAAGGTGAGTTCTTAAGCTCCTGCAGCCTGGGAGAAAAGTGCTGTGACGTCGCCCATAAGTCATCCTTCTTATGAAGGCCCTGCTGGCACCCTCCACTCACTCAACACCTATTTATTGTACGATCAAAAACATCTGAGTAACAAATGAATTTCCTCGACGTGTTGAACTGGTTCCTGTTCACCTTGTCACTCGGTATGTCTGGTTCCTCCTTAGGTTTCAAATCTCAGTTCAAGTGTCACCTCCTGGGAGAAAACTCTCCTGGCCACCCTTACCAGATCGCTCAGGCCCCTCAGCCATTCTCTGTCCCATCGCCTTGTCTCTAATATGTCATGTAGAAATAATTCTGTTTGCCATTCACCCCCCTTCACAAAGGCAGGGACCTTACTTGCATTGTTCACGGTAATACCCCAAATGTATGGAACAAAAGCTGGCACACAGTAGGTGGTCAAGCAATATTCGTATAATGAACACGAATGAGGTGACACTGATTTCAACACAGGAAGAAAAGGGTCTGCGACTTTAAATGCAGATGGAGTGAGAGGTGGGACGGTGGCCTGGAGCCCTTGGTCATAATGACATGTCCAGCAGGGGTCTGACTCATCAGCACATGCATTTTCTGAATTACAAAGTGTGCCAGGGACATTTAATTTCTGTTAATTGGCACCAAGGAGGAGGGGTTGTTATTGAAATCGCCAGCCAGCTGGAAGCCTGTCTGTGTCGGACCTATTTGCAAATCAGAATAGACATTTCCTAAACCCCGTTAACCTTGTGAAGCTGCAAGTCCCCAAGAGGGGCAGCACCAATGTGCTCCCGGTCGGCATCCCGGGCCGCAGACAACCCTAAACCTTAAATCATCAACAGGTGAGGAGGCGAGGTCACGGGGACAGCCAGAAGAGAAAAGACAGATGAGGGCTATGGCATAAGAAGCATTTAAAAATAATTGTCATGTTGCTTCAACCCCGGTGCCATTTACCAGCTTATCTGAAAGGCGAGGAGCGCAAAGTGACTTCAGAGCCCGCTCCACTGCTTCCTCCCTGTGACCCCAGGCAAGTGATTGGCTCTCTGAGCCTCAGCTGCTTGATGTATAAATAGGGGACAATGACACTTAACTCCTGGGGTGCTTGTGAGGATCAAAGGAGCAAATGCATGTAAACAGCAATGATAACTGACTGCAGAGCGCTTTCTATGTGCCGGGCACCGTGTCGATGACCTCATTCACATCATCTCGCTTGATCTCCCCCAAAGCACTCAAGGAAAACACAACTAGCACCTGCATTTTACAGGCGAGGGAGCTACAGTTTGGGGAGGTTGAATGACTGGCCCTTGGTGACCCAGGGGGGAATTTAGTCACCTGACTCACTGCCCTTGGCCACCCTGTAACTGCCCCTTGACCAGGTTACCTCAGTACCTGGCACTTAGCACACATCTAACGTGTGGCGGCCACTGAGATTCTGTTCTTAGAGTTAGCGTTTCCCTAGCTCACCTGCCTTCAAGCCTTGGTCACGCCTGCAGGCTCCTTCTCCCACAGCCGCCACTTCTAGGGTCCCTTCTGCTCCCGGGCATCGGGCCTACCCGGCTCCCTTGATCTTCCCAAGCCCTACAAAGTGCCCGTTACTGTTTCCACTCTTCAGGGGAGGAAATGAAGTCTCAGGGGGGTTAGTTAACTTGGCCCAAGGCCACACAGCCAAGAAGTGGTGGGGCCAGGACTTGAACTCAAGGACACGCGGTTCCGGAACCCAGGTGCTTCCCTCTCCACGTAACACTTCTCCAAGCTGCCTACCACCTTTCAGGACCTGCTTCTCCTCAGTGAAGCCCTCCTGACAGCTGAAACCCCCTCGTTGCTGCCACTCCCTTTCTTCCGCCTGCACGACAGAGCCCAGGGCTTTATCACGCTCCCTGGTTTTGAACTGTGTCCCCCATCCGCTTATTGGGAACAGCTGGCGCTCACTGAACGCGTCCATGCACCCAGTGCCACGATCAGAGCTGCACTTGCACCATCTCCTCTAATCCTTCCAGAACCTCTGAGGTGGAGAGACTGATCCCCATTTTACAGAAAACAGGTTCAGGGAGGTGGTGTAACTTTTCCAAGTTTCTTTAATCATTTGCCAAAGGAAACATAACTAGTGACAAAGCTGGGCCAAA